TTTAGATTTTGTATCTATATCATTTCTGTCACAAATTTAAAAATTAATTAAAAAATACGTGTAGCTGTAATTATTGATTGAAATGACAAAAATAGAAGAAAAAGAGAATCATTTAGTCTTTTTTGTTTTATAATAAAAGTAAGCTTCAACTTTTTTGATGAGTAAAATTCATGTTTTTGTTTGATTTTTCCCCAATTTTTTTTCGAAAAAGTCTTACTTTGTGGCGAGGAGGAGCGCATGAGGGACCCCCAGGCGAAGGGCCACTGCGGATGCCCCAGCCTGGGCATGGAGGGATGCAGCGGCTGTGGAATAATCACCGTGTGTGCCGAACTGGGACTCAGACTCTCCCTCCCGTCGGTATCGTCATCATCCACAGTGATATTCTCGTCATCGTCACTCAACCGGTGGTCATCCTCCTCGTCCTCCTTCTTCGACAGCAGCGACTCCACACTGAAGGAGATCTTCGATTTGATTTCTGTTTTCGTTTCTTCCATCTTTGGCACTCACTCATCAAAACTCACTGAAGACGTCGTGTTGCTCGTAGCGGCTCGACCGGACTGGACTGAAACCGTGGCGGAGAAATGGTGAGGGAGCATGCCTTCGAGGGCGTGGAGTCAACCCGGACTCCTCCCTCTCGTTATTAGCCAAAACGAGCGGAGAATTGATGACCCGGGGATAGCAGCTTTGACTGGCGTGATTTTCGCATATTATATTATTTGTCGGCTGCGTTTGCTGTATTAATTTAAATTGATTGAGGGGCTGCGCCGCCGCTGAGGGGGCCACGCGGCGAATACTGCCGCCAGAGGGCCCCAGGAACAAAAATCATAAACTAGGCACTCTTTCAAAAACAAAAAATTGTTTTAGAACAAAAAACTACATCCGCTTTGTTGAAATTGTGATTAGATTTACTATTCCTGAATACCATCTATAAGCAAAAACTATCTAAAATGTTTTTTGAATGAAAGAAAATAGCAGCCGCTTTGTTGAAATTGTGATTAGATTTAGGTACGAGTGCTATTCCACCTGAGGTAAGAAACTTAGTTCAGTGAACAGAAAACAACAATAAAATAAGAAACAATGTACTATAGAGTGTTTTAAAAGAAGGTATATCAAGAGTAGATATTGTTATTGTGTCGAACATAGACTGATGCTATCTTTAATGAAATGTCAGAACTATAACATTTAGGATATACTACAGAAGGTAAAGTTGACTTGTCTTTCATCAATATTTAACACAGGACAGGTGTTTAAATTTGTAAATTTGTAAATTTGACAGATAATTGACAGGTGTTGATGTTACTATTCAAGACATACGTTTATGAAATTGAAAACACTCGTGATTTGCGATCTTGTACATTATGCAATATATTTTTTGGTTTTTATTTTTTTTTATTTTTTTATTTAACTTTAATAATAATACTAAAATTCTAAAGTTTTTCAGTCAAACAAGTGCAAATTATTTCCAAATTTCTTAAACATTGGTGTGATTACATATTATTTATTTTATTTTGTACTCAATTTCAGTAGATAAAGTAGTCTCTTATCGTCTAGTAAAATAAAGTAATTTTTAACTATTGTTTATATTTTATCAACTAGTTTTTGTAGATGAAGTGGTCTTTTATCGTCTAGTACAATAAAGTAATTTTTATCTACTACTATTCAAGAAATTCTGGTAGATGACTACAAAATAAAACGAAATATTATACACGACGATAAAGATTGTATATCTACTCGTAAAAAAAACACTTGTGACTTCGTCGCTTGTAAACTTAACTTTTCACTCGTAGATAAACAATTTCTTTATCGTCTTGTATAATAAATAACTAAAATTTCATTATTAATTATTGTTAAAAAGTAGGTATCATAAACAGTTTTTATTTCTGTTGTTTTTTGTAGTTTTGTCACTTTTTTATTTGTCGATATCATATTTTAGTCTGCTTTCTAAAGGTATAAATTCAAAGATAACAAACGAAGAAAATAAAAAAAATATTTAGTTATTAGAAAAACTACTTTTTTCACAAATCTAGTTTTGCTCACGAAATACGATTTTTTTTGGGTTATAACAAAAGAAAATGATTGGAGGTATACAGAGTGATTCCTATAAAATTATTAGTCTGATGCTTTGATTTTTTAAATACCTACATATAATCAGTAACAGTATTAATATACTTTATTAATCACTGGTTAATTAATTTATTAATTTGTTAAAAATAAATAATTTAGCTTGATATTAGAAAAAAAAAACATTGAGAAAATCAATTGTCAGAAAGTCAGTTGGCATACCGCCAAAAATGTTCAAAAACATGATTAAAGAAACTGTTTTTTTGCCCAGTATTTTGGGTTATATTGAAAGTAGATCAAACTAGTAGTTTCACATAAGTCACCCTGTACCTATACATAGTAAAGGAAATTAATTAAGCTAATTAGGTAACTTCAGAAATAACACTTATTTTACATTATACTAAAAAATATAAGAAAACTGTCAAATAAAAAGACGACAAAAAATTTGTTTTAAAAATTCAAAAAATTCAAAAAAATCTATTATAATAATTTATTTCAATAATAGTGTTATTTATAAAAATATTAATTTAAAAGTTTAAACATTTTCATTGTTTGTGTCTATTTATGGATTGGCAAATTAAAAAATCTAAAGCAGCTATAAATACCTACCTTTCGAAATTTTAGACTTGATCACTCTGTATATAGTACTTGTTATTACATTTAATTAAATTTTTATTAAAAATTGTTTGGAATAGTTATTTTTGTTACTTACATACATATAACACGGTTTTTGCAAATGAATCGTTGTCTCACGAGGCAAAGCCGAGTCTGGAATATGAGATGAGCAAAAATATACAAAAATATGATTAAACAAACTAATTTTTTTGTTCAGTATTTTGTGGATATTGTATTTTGAGGTTTATTTATAGTTGGTCGAACTCGTAGTTTTCCATGAAGCATCCTGTATACATGATAAAAGAAATGAATGTTTACTATTAGAACTCCAGAAGTGATACTTCTCAAATAAGAGAGCGACAAAAGATTTGTCAATTTTCTATTATAATCGTGTCGTTTATAAAATTATCACTGTAAAATTTAAAACTTTCTTACTGTTGATATTTATTTATAGGTTGCAAACTAAAAAAAATACCTAAAGCTACTAAATTATGAAACAATTTTCAAAATTTTAAACTGTTTACACCTTGTATCTGATATTTGTCATCACATTTCATTAATTTTTTTTCAGACCTAGCTATTTTTCAGACTTATTGCTATTCTGAACTCGGCTTCGCCTCGTCTGGATTTTTAAATTATCAAATATAGTTTAAATTGTGATGTTTTACTCTAAATACCCGTAGTGTATTTTTATTTTATATTTTTCAACTACTTTTTTGAGTGAAATTACTATTTTGAATAAGATAATTATTAAAAAATTCAGAGATTTGAACTCGTAGTAATGAATAAAATAGGTGAATAATAAAAAACGCTTTTATATGATTCAGGGTTCGCTTTTCTTCTTGTATTAGCATAAACGCTCAAATATCTTCTTCCCCATTGTTGCCAACCCCATTTGTCTCCATTTTTAATCACAAAAAAGCCTTCTCGCTTACACATCCCGGCGATATCACAAAGCGCGTAAAAAATTAGGGTATATCTAATTAGGGAGCCATTTACGAAGTGTCGAGAGCCACCTCATAAATAACCCCCTATTACGGGGAGGGCCACTTCAACCCCTTTCAGAAATTTCGCGCACACCTATCATGAGTCACTCATTTTAATTTCGCGTTGGAATTGATTCATTTTTGTGTCATTTATAACTCTGTATCACAACCGGACGACATAACCGTAAATTATGTCATTTTCTCATTATTTACATATGGAAAACATTCGCTTTTTCCAACAAAACCTCGGTACATATGTCACGCATGAATAACTCCCCGATGTAAAAATCCCCTCTCCTGTTTCATGCTCAACTTAAACAAGTGAACGATAGCATTAAATTGATTTTATTGCCCCCTCTTGACGCGCCAGCCAATCGGGAGGGAGGAGACAGTTGGTTGAGAGGCGGGGAGAAACTCTTTCGTTTGCCAATCACGGGACGAGGGGTGCCCCTTATTAAATTGTCCCCTACTACTGTTGTTGCTTGTACTCAATTATTCTTGTTCCAACATAATTAATTTGTTCCTGGCTTTAATTAATTTCGGGAGAGATCGAGTGGACTCGGATCGGGCCGGACTGCCGGACCACCAAGGAAGGGTTGAGCGGATTAGGGGATGATTGACGGGATTGTTTGACAGATGACAACACACACAATCGATGGTCACAAGGGACGAAAATTGACGTTTTCGACCCTTGGGCACGTAGGAGAGATAACGCGTTTTACGACTTTACAATCATAATATGACACCATCGAACATGTGTAATTGGTTTATGTTGATATAAATACATTGGGCAATTGATAAAAATTGAAATTAACATGTTTTGTAATAATAATTAATTTTATATCTCGACTTGTGACCCCAATCTTTGACAATTTAATTATTTCCAATTTTCGTCAAGGTTGTACAAAGTGACACGATTTTTACGAACTTTGAACTCATGATTTGCACAAGTTGGATCAGTGATGACGATGACTAAAGAAAACTAATAAGCTAATCTGTTTGTTAATTAACAGAGTCGAGATGGGAGTGATAAATTTTGTTAATTATAGTGGAAACAAAGAAAGGAACAAGGAAATTCAAATTTTGGTCTACTTTTCGATGTTTGAAACCTTGTTTCAGGATTTACACGTCGTTACAACAAATTTTAATTTAATTTTTATCTCGAGATAACTTGTGATTAATTGTGTTTCGGTGGGAAATTTTTATGTTTGAAAAATAATAATTCAAATTGTTCTCTTTAAACAGTGTAATAAAAATAAATTGCTTCAAAATATGATTAAGATAAAGGAAAAAAATATGAATTGGGTTTAGGTCATGGCCTATGATTGGTCGTGTCCAAATCTGCAAACAGATAAAAACAAAATTTTGTCCAACACTTGTTAATAATTTAATAAATAAAAATATTTAAGTCTAAGATATCTGTGCAATTTTCAAAAACTCCAGTCTTTTAAAGTTAATAATTTTTAACTAAGAAATTTCATAACTCTTAATCTGGAACTGAAAATTCTGAAAGTGACTCTCAAATTCCAAATTTGAAGATTGTAATTAATTATTTAAAGCTCAAAAATTAGAATTTTTGATGGTTAAAAAAGCAGAATGCTAAAATTCCAGATGTCAGATTTTGGAATTGTAAGGTAAGAATTGAAGGGGGTTTACACTTTTTTGCTCGTCTTCTAAATTTAACCCAGAATTTTTAAACCTAGAAATTTGACTTACATTTATTGTAATTCTAAAACTTAAAATTACTAGTTAAAATGTTTCAGATTAAAGTTTTTATATTTACTATATTGTTTGTACAGAATATATTTGCAGTTAGAATTGCCTTTTTTGAACTTATAAATCTATAAAACTTTAAAAAACCACAGTTAGAAAGTTAGAATTTGTAACTTAGAGCCAGTTTCATAATCGAATTT